TACATCGAATAGATATTTGTGGAAGGGGTGGGGGTAGGTACTGAGAACAGGGATGGGGGTAGGGGGAAAAGGTGAGTATCGTTAAATGCCAATGCACTTGTTTTCCCACACTCAACTAAATCATACTTGTAAAATCGCATAGAACGAAGCAATTTATTATGCTTCTATGCATACAACAAATGTGACAAAATAGAGGCAGTTAGTCAGATTCCAAGAAGGTGAATCAGCAATCAAGATCCCTCTGAAGCTAGGCAATAATTCAAAGTTGGATCGCCTTAATACGCCAACTGGTTTTAGTTGTGTGTTTCCTCTAGATCGTAGAAAATGAACATGTACTTAAGTCCTTACAACTTTAAGAAGACCCTGGCATCTGTGGCACGACCTCAGACGAAATTGTTCCCATGTTTTTTTCATTCTCCATACGATCCTTCCCCCCCATTTTCATGAGAAAGAAATACTCTTCACCTCCCTTGGCATTCTTCATAAGAGACCTGCAAAACAGTTTCCTTCTTTCCCTTTCTTTCATTTTACCGCTCCGTATCCTTCTCCCCCGCCCTCGTTCTCAGTACACGTAAAAGAAAAAGAACAAGAAAAGGGTGTAACAAAGGAAAGAGTAAGAAAAAAAAAACCAGCGGAAAAAAACCCCAACCTAAAAAAACCCCATACCCCATAAATATATAAGAAGCTTCCTAGAGTTGGGAAGAGATAGAATTTTTGATGTGTTCCCTCTTCTCATCTCTACCCTTGATCTTCTACCTGTCTGTGATCTCGCGAGTCTCCTCTTCCCTCAGTGAGTGTGAACAAACAAACAAATAGACTAATATGTTTGTTTACCGGCAGACGTTATCTTTCTTTGTGCTGACTGGGACTTTGCTCTCCATGTCAAACGCACCTACTTTCAAAAACACACTCACACACACATAGACAAACTCTCGCTTTCTTTCCTCTCCCCTCTCCCTCCCTCTCCCCCCCCTCTCTCTCTCTCTTTCTCACATAGAGTCTACACGCGAACACACATACACTCCTCCCACACACACACACACGTGCGCGCGCGCACGCGAGCACACAGGTGTAAATGGCCCATGATCCGATGTCTCCACCATTCCCTGTCTCCGCACTAGTATAACAAAACAATTTACACAACTTACAAAAACAATTTACACAGCATACGGAAAATAATTTACACAACATACAAATGAGGAAAGACGCACTTGAAACAACTCATTCACGTGTTACAAAGCAGCACTGTTTCCAACACTTCTCTAAGTCCCCCCTCCCCCCTCTCCCACCCTCACCAAATCTAACCCCCCCAAAAAAAACGTAGAGAAGATATCACTTGACATCTCCACCCCTTTTTCCCCACGTGCAGAAAAACATCTACACAACATAAAAGCATCCCGTAACGTCATTACAGTATTATCCTTTCCCCAACCCAGAAATGTCAGGAAAAGAATGGAGCACGATGGTACATTTTCCCATCTAAGTTTGATCTAAAAAATAATATGGAGTGTACTGCTAGTGTATACTTTGAATGTGTTCCTGCGCGTGTGTGTATGCGTGTGTGTGAGTGTGTGTGTGTGTGTGTGTGTGTGTGTGTGTGTGTGTGTGTAATGTTTGACCGTGTCTATATTAGAAAGCTTTCTGAAAACACAAAACACACAGCAACTTCTTGTTGTAGTTTACAACATTTTTTAAGTTTATGGAAACGGAGGGAAAAAGACAAAATCATAACTATAAAAATCATACTACCATTATAATCTATCGTTTCTCCTTTGGCTTTATAAATGCTCCATAACAGTATCACTTTTTTATTTGGTGACCTTTACTGTGAAACCTGATGCTAAAGGAATGGTTTGTTTCTTTTTCAGTCAAACCTGGAAGGTTGTGCTTACCACCAAATAAAATGTAAATCCATACTTGTAATGTGGATGGTTGATAGGGCGTTCTTTGGTGGGATGTGCTCCTTTATTTTCAAATAAAACATCTGTCGTATGCTACTCCTATCAAAGATTGTACATAACAGGATTGTTCGCTCAGCCAAATTAGTGTCCCCGGGAGTCCGCGCTTTGCTTCAGATGGCTTGGCAGTCTTTGTTTTGAAGCTCTCTTTCGTTTCTCCACAAGAAGAATAGGAATAGCACAATTACACGAAGTAATACTTTTTAAAAATATTTACAACAGCTTTCGATGAAAGGAATGATTGGTGCATTAAGTGATTCTGAACCACAGTTAATTTTGTCAAATTCGAAAGTTAAGTGGTTCGTAAGTTTTAGGCGGCCAATTTAAGTGAGGAACTTTCACAAATATAATATGTATATATTAAACGAAGTAATACTTTTAAAAAATACTTACAATTACACGAAGTAATACTGGAACGGCTGAGGCTGTGGTGTGGTGAGGTGCGGTGTGGTGCAGGCTTCTGAGAGAACGAGGGAGTGCGAGGTGGTCACGGCATCCAAGGCTTTTATCCACATCTGCTCCGCCAGCCAGGCGGAACGACCAGAATCTGAGACATTGCAACGCCGTGCGATTTAGGACTTTAAGGTGTCGTTTAGTTTTTACCTGACAACTCC